AGTGCAGTGTTTAATATATTTTCATATATTAAAGTGGGTGAATAATAATAAGTGCAAATATGTTTTTATAAAACTTATCTATTCGTAATCGTTAATGTGCTTATTAATATATGTATATATATATATATCTTGACCAGATACACAATCTAATTAATTGCAGAATGAGATTAAAACAAGGAACAATTAAAAGAAAGTCCAATGTTCGAATTGATAAAAGTTTTTCTTTGGACATATACAACTATTTTTTTCTCCAAGACAAAACTTGATGGGTTTTTATCTTAAATGGGGCCATATATATAAAAAGTAAGCAATGAAAGTTGAGGAAAAATAAAGTTGATAATATTCTAAATGAGAAAGTGTATACAGCTTTATCACCCCACCACTGTCTTGTTGGGCACAAGATTCATTTTCAATGATACTCATACGACAGCCTCTTGTTCGTCATATCAATTTAACATGTACAGCACTAACTTGTTAGTCCCTTATCTTACGATAGAGACTACCTACTCGATTCTTTGTGCCTTTGTGGTAATATGATTAATTATTTGGGAAATTTATTAGAAAAAAAAAGAAATATATATCTACATATATATATATCTATAATACATCTATCATGTGTAAAAAGGAATCTGGGTTCCATGATCAGTATCCAAATACTAGCTCTCACCTTAGTGTTAAAATTCATACTTGACCATAAATAAAAACGGTAATCAGTTAAAGGACATTTTCATGAGTATGTATTTTAATCATTTTTCTGCAGCCATAAGAATAGTTAGATTAAGGTATAGGGTATGGTAAAAGGTGATTAAAGTTGTTGATTTATGGCATTGTCTTGTACCAACATATCTGGCAATTACTGTTTGTTTGAATCCACGATTTTATCATGCCACCCACCTGAGAAGATTCCGCATCCATGTGCAAGATCTTTTTAGAGCTTCCCAATTTCAAAACCTTCAAATTTGGATTATACTGTAATTAGAAAACACTCACAATGATCCACGTGTTACTGTGTGAGACACATAAAAAGTACCAGAATTGACCATGAGGTGATATATTTGAACTGGTAAACCTAACCTACAAGAAATGAAAAGGATGCTAAATCATATATTAATTGGAATCTCTGTGAGATGGCAACCTATCTATCGCCTTTATATATTGTGCCAGTGATGTGTGGCAAAATTAAAGTAGCCTAGGCACGCAATTAAGCCATGGCTTAATTAATCTAAGTAATAGGACATGTCTTAATTAGCCTTCGTTGATAATAAATTAATGTAATATTTAATTTGTTAAGTAATTGTGTGGTAAATCGTTGGTGAAGAGTTTCCTCTCCTCATATATGTCTTCCTCTAATATACGCAAATGGCCTGAAAAGAAAGAGAGAGTAAATTAACAATTTAGTGTCTAGAAATTAATTAATTTTTCTTCAAATTCGGGAATATTACTCAAAGTTAGTAGTTGAAAATATAAACCAATTCAATATATTTTATCTTTTTGGCATGTTTGAATAACTTACACGAGAAGACTATAAACATGCAAGAAATTATTATTATTTTTATAAATAATGTATGCTGATTTTTAATAATTAATTTGAGCTAATTTTTAGTGACTACAGTAAAATCTAACATAAACTAATTTAGGGACCATTTCATTAATTTATGAAAAAAACAATACAAAACAACGCAAGTTAATTATTACACAAACAATAATAACAGAAACAGACTTATCTGACTTTTAAAGAGTAAAACTCTTAGATATGCACCGCAAGATATATGCTCATAATTAGGATCATGGTTCAAATAGAGAAAACAAGTGAATTAGATTTAAAAATTAACACAAGTCATACGTATCCTCATATCCATCATCATATATGGAGATTTTGCTGGGAATAAAATTATAAATACGAAGAGATACTCAATCAAACAAGTTGATGCATGGCTTGTTTGTTTCATGATGATCAGTCACCTAATCAGACGGTCACGATCAGATCTCACCAAATAAACAAAGGCAACACAAATATATAGGAACCCTAGGATGTGTTCCTGTCCCATTATAATCGTTTATTGGTTTATTAATTTTGAGTGAAAAAAAAAAAAAAATTAAACAATATCGTCCCCACATTTGCTTATCATGTGACCGACACTTACCCTACTTGACCTTCATGGCTCCCACCATGTCCTTCACCTTCACTTTGTATATAAACCCATTCATTTCCTAGCTTCCCTCTCCAAGCCCAAATTAATATAATTCTGATCCCACGCAGTGACACAGATAGTCACGCAGTTTAAGTTTCTCAAACATTTAAGACAAGTTTTTGAATTCGAATCCCAGTAATGGCTCTCGGACTTGAAATCACAGAGCTCAGGTTGGGTCTTCCCGGCGGAGATCAGCCTGGTGCGGGGGGTAAGAGTGCTACTGAGACGACCAAGAAGCGGGTGTTCTCGGAGATTGGTGCCAGCAGCGGTGGCGGCCAGGATAATGAAAATAGCTGCTCTGGTGGTGGTGACTCGAAAACACCGGCGAAGATCGAGGTGGTGGGGTGGCCGCCGGTAGGGTCGTACAGGAGGAGAAACAGCATGAGTGATCAGCAGCAGGGTTCGAAAATTTACGTGAAGGTTAGTATGGATGGAGCTCCTTTCTTGCGTAAAGTTGATTTGGGTTTGCAAAAAGGCTACTCCGAGTTAGCAACCGCGTTGGAGAAGCTCTTCGATTGCCATGGAATCAGTAAGTCACCATTTATGGCTTATACTTTTGGCTAACAAATGGATCATGCAAATTCATGAGTTATTACATAGTTTTTCTGTGATATATTAGAGAGTAGATAATGTTTTGACTTAGCTAAAGATCCACTTGTCAAAAGAGATGGGGATGTGACTATTACTGAAAGAAGAAAACAGTGACTGATTTAGTTATAGGTATGGTATAGGGTAGGCAATTCATGAACCAAAATTAGTCTTACAAATTAGATTCTATTTCAAGTTTGATTAATTGGTATATTACTTATAATAAAATAATATAGTCAGAGTCAGAGAGCTATATATAGCGGACCTTTTAGTTAATTAATTTAGTCCTAGGGAGAAAAAGCACGGATAAAAATAAGTTAGACTGAGAAGAGATGAACTGAGGACAAATATATATATATATATATATAAAATGAAGCTCCATCTGGATTTGTTAATTAGCTGTAAGAAATGTATAAAGTTAAAGGCATGCATAGAAACTTGAAAGGGATTGAAGGAAAAAGCCTGAAAATTATTAGAAATAAAAGGCAGTGACAGAGATTATTATTATTATTATTGAATATATAATAAATTATAATTGCTTGGTTGCAGGAGAGGCATTGAAGGGTGTGGACAGTTCTGAACACGTTCCCATTTATGAGGACAGTGATGGTGACTGGATGCTTGTTGGAGATGTTCCTTGGCAGTAAGTCCTTAATTCTATGGCTAATTAAACAAAAATATTATAAAAAAATGAATCATTAATTCATCATGAATGTACAAATTGCTTCAATATTTGTTTCCTATATGTTATATCCTATTGTCTCCTGTAAATATGTAGGATTAGTTATTTTATTGGATTTGATTTTTTAATTAACCATATGTATGTGTGAAATACATATTGAAATTTTCATTTCAATTTTAAAAAATTCGGAAAAATTATAATGAAAAAAAAATCAAAAATTGTTTTAATTTACAAGTAGTTCATCATTTTTAGGCTTAAATTTTCTAAAAATAAAGAACAATTTTTAATTTAAACTAGTTGCGTTAGGATGTATTTAGTGAGATCTGTAACACACAGGAATATTTCTCAATTTTTTTTAAAAAAATATTTCATTTTTCTTTTTTAACACTCAATAGTTGTTTTCTTTAAAATCTATCTCCAATTTCATCCATTATATGCGGTTACGTACATAAGTATTTATAGAAGATGGGGTTTTTCAATTTTCTTACTTTTGGCAAAAAAAAAAAAGATATCTTTACGACATCCAAAGTGCGAGTTTTTGCTAATTATAACTCAAGTTGGTGTACGTACGAAATTCATGAGGTGCCCCCACAGATTTTCAAGTTGGTTCTGAATATATGTACAAGTGAGAGTTAATTCGGAAGACATTGTACAATAAGAATTCATTAATTAGGTCTAGACTGGTGAGAGAGAGAGAGAGAGAGAGAGGGAGGGAGGGAGGAAATTTTCGACAAGTTTGACCGGCAAAAAGGCAAAGAGGGAAATAATTTTCCGGGAAAGATCTGGAATTTTCATGAAGATTGGTGCGAGAATATAGAAGTTTACGTGTTTATGACGCCAATAATATGCATTGGACCACATATTGCCGACATGCGTGAATATATCCCTCACTATAATGTTGATGAGAGTCCTTTCAATAATAGCTTTGCCCTTAAAAGGCCAAGTATATCATTATTGTTTTAATATAGTTATCTAATTGGATTAATTTTGAGTATGTTGAGTCCAACTAGAGATAGCTCTCTTCCAAAATTATTGTGTGTATTTACACAAACTTAAACCCAAAATCTCATGCTTTAGTAGTCATAATTTCTTTTTTGATATAATTATTTGATCGAGTTAGATTTGATCCCAATTACAACGTTGGTTCCTTTTATAATCAATGCAAAAAATTAGTCATTTCTACTTCACCCCGTATAGTGACTTCTCTACTACTATTATTATTAAATGCATTTAATTAATTATTTGTATCAAGTGATCAAATAAATATATGCTTAATTATTAATCATACGGTGATACGTTTTTGCAGAATGTTTATAGAGTCATGCAAGAGGCTGAGGATCATGAAGAGGTCGGAGACAAAAGGCTTTGATCTGCAGCCAAAAGGTGAAAAGGGTCTATGAAGGGCAAAACCAAGTGATGGATGACCAACGAATGAAAGACTAATCAAAGTGAAACAGAAAATTAGTCTTCTTAATTAATCTAATATCCATTATCTACGTTTTGGTCATTCCCACTTAATTAATGTAGTCGTTTTATAATATGTCCATGTGTGAATCAGACTTTTGCTTATGTATAAGATATGAAGGATATAGAACCTATGCAGATGAGGAAAACTCGTCGTTTAATCTTATATATTCATGTTTTTAATTTTCCATAACATAACTCATATACATCAATTAATCTCCAATATATGTATGTATGTATGCATGTGTTCACGCACGGCACTGAAATGATTTCAATTCATAATTTCTTCTTTCACTTGCTAACTATATATTTCTCACCTTTTTTTCACTTTGGAATTTTAACATATTTAGTTAAATTATTTATTCGTATATTTCAAATTTTTCTGTGTTTCGTCATGGATATAATTAATAACACAATAACACACACGCACTCAATTATTTAATTTTTATCACTTTCATCAATTTATGTTGGAAAGTTGTTGCATATATATGATTCATCACAAATTATGTTGAAAAGTCTGTATCTTCTTAATATGAGTAATTTTATTCATTCGCATTATGACGTCAAAATGAAGACCCAATTTACTAAATGGTTTCTGATTAACGTGATGGAAAAAAAAAAAGATAGCTAATAAAATAAGCATAATTAACATTTGGGAAGTCTAATTTATTTCTTCATGAAATTATACATCCGTTTTGTGATTTTGGAGCATGCTAGTAACTTGAGGTAAAGGTGACTTGGTCAAAAAGTGAAGTCGTTATCTTTTTTACTTGAATTAAAAATTTAAAAGTATCATTAATAATAAAATAATAACAAAGGAGCGAGAGAAAAAATTTCCAGTTCATGAACTGTGGATTTGTTCCTCACAAGAGGGACACAAGATAAAGAGTACTGCCAGCATTGAGCAGTGTCTTTAACTCCAAGGTGCAGAATCTAATCCGTATTCGAACACACACACACACGCATTAAAATATTATAATAATTACTCTAATTTCGAGACCAACCAACTAACCCACCGTTTTTTAAATTATAATTAACACAATGCTTTTGGATAGCATCGATCAGATAAACCCACTTAGATCAATATCATATGTTGAACAAGTAAGAAACAATATTAAGTATGGATGAATTGATTATATGAGATTAATTGTGTTCTAACCTTATAATTAACACACGCATTCTCGCAGGGTTATTAATGTTGTTGGGATCTAAATTGTCTCCCTGCGACGAATGATTTTAATTAGTTTCTCGTATTCATGACGCATATTATCATATTAATAAACATTATTGTTGAGAGGCCGCCAGGCAAACATCTAGTTAACCAAAATATTTATCCTCCAATCCCTTTAATATTATAAGGTATTTTAACCTAATTACACTTTCAATGAATTAGTTAATTGTCTTTAAAATCATACACTATTTTCATGTTTGTTTATTTAATAGAATATCTCAGTTAAATTTTTTATTAATAACGCCCTTAATTAAGGGTATTTTGAAAAACCTTTATCACTCTTTGAAATGAAAATATCTTTCAAACATGATAATTTGAAAAAATGCATTATAATATTGAACAAAGAGAGAGAAGAATAATTTTTTTGGTACTATTTATAAGTTATGTTATAAAATTTTTATCATAATTTTTCTTTTACCATATTATAATTCTAATTAGATGTTAGTAAGAGAAAATATATTATTAAAATATATCAATAAATATACTTAATACGAGTAAAGTTAGAAACATAATATTGATGTTTAGACAGAGTTAATTAATATTTAAGATTTTTTTTGTCATGTTGAAGTAATTTATAAATAAAAATGGAGGGAGGGAGTATATATATTGAAAAGAATAGTCCAAATATCTCATTTAATGTAATTAAAGAAAGGAGAAGAGAATTTTACCCAGAAAGAAAGAAAGAAAAAGAAAGGAGAAGAGAAGAGTCTTTTCCTTGTTAATTATTGAGTGAGCAAAAGAAACAAATTAAAGAGAAGCCCATTGCACTAGCTAGTGATGATGAAGAGTTTGAATAATTTGCCAAAACATTTTAGAGTTAAACAGAGGGTCTTGTCAATTGCATCAAAATAAGTAAAGCGCCAAACAGATAAATGAACTAGCTGTGCCCTCTCAAAATAAGAAGAAATTGAAATTAAAATTAATTGAAAATGGATAATCATGGAGTCATAATATTCTTCAACGTAACATTGAGAATATATATTGTCTTCTATATATATATATATATATATATGGCTTTTTGGCAGGACAATGGACTATTGATCTTAGAGCATCTCTATCCATATCTACATGTCTTAAATTAAATTAGCTAGGAGAGAGCATGGGCTAGTTAAGAATATTTAATGCATGTGAAGAATATTATTCGAGTTTGATTTCTTATTATATTTTCTTTGATTAGTAATTACTTTACGGCTTAACAAAAAATTAGGTACGTAAATTTCTTAAGAAAATTATACATTTTTTTAATTATACTCTCATCAAATATCCTATAGACTATTTCAACAATAGCACTAACATATCTATAGTAGCATTAATGCCTAGAGAAAATATATATGTTTGGATTACATTTTAGAAGTATTTTTTAGCAAAAGCTTTAAATTACTCTCTTTTCATAAAATTGTCTCTACTTTTATCCACATGTAAAAAGGTATGTGCAAATGTGATATATGAATAGACATAACATGTGTTAAGAATGAGTAGCAACAACCCAAAAATGAGAGGAGAAAGCAAATGGGCAAAAACAATGAATAAACACTATGTTTGTACTTAAAATTTTAAGATTCAAGTTTATAAATAATTTTTTTTGTTATATATTAATTTGTTATTAAGCTCATCAATTTTATTGATGTGGGAAAGTCTTACATCGGCTCAAGTCCATCTATACTTAAACAACCTAACAAGATGATTAAGAAACTTATTTGGGTATCTAGCAAGGATATAACTTAAAAAACCAAAAGCAAAAAAAGAAAAAAAAAGGATGAATTAGATTGAATTATTGGCTAGACATGAAAGTAGAAAACAAACTAAATCTAAGTAATGAGTAATTAATTGCACATAATAAGCACTGATGTAACGTGGAGTATCATAACTGGATGACACAAAATAGAATACGAGGAAAGGGTCCACAGTTCCATGATGGATTGCCTGCTGCTGTGAATAGTGGTGGTAGTTACGCTCCTCTTATCACTTTAATTTGTTTGCTTTTGGTTTCTTTCAGATAAGAGGATAAGGACATAAGGGTATAAGGGACGATTCTTGCAAGTTGGAAAGCAGCTTCTTTCTTTCTTTCTTGATAATGATACACTTTTCCCCACTTTGTTCTTCTTGTTTTCTGTTTTTGTTTTTTAATAATTTTTTCCCACTGATTGCTAAATGATAAAATACACAGTTTGGTATCTTTCTGCACGAAATCGGGCATAGTGTTGTCAAATTAAGACACAGTGTTTCATTATTTGGATCCAGAAGGATGCGTCTGTAGTGTTAGTGTTTCGTTATTATCTGATCTAGTAGATGCTGGAATATAATTATGGTTATTTTTAATTAACAGTGGTTTTGTTGGGCATGGAAGCATGTTGGAAGAGAGGAGAACATAGTTAAATCTATCCAATAATTATAAAAAGATACGTATAAGTAAATATGATATCACATCCTAATTTAAAATATTAAAATATTGAGTTTATAGTTTTTTTTTAAACTTATGTGCCTCTTATTTAACCCAATTCTATTAAATGTAAGAGTTTTTTTCTCAGACTTTGTCAAACCAACTCAGACCTCCTAAAAGGTTTTTATTTTTTTATTAATCTTTTCCAGACTTGTGAAACCTCTATGTATATAATTATATTGCTTTCTTAAGCTGATGCGGAAAATTCAGGCTCAATGGTACTCTGAATTAATTAGTTATGAGAAGTTATCTTGTTATTGGAAATATTAATGACTTCTGTACAAATAATAGTGTTTATAAAGCCTTATTATATACTGTATTATATATATGCTTACTCTATTTAAAAATATAAGGTATTTTTAACTGAATCTTACTTCTCAATAAAATAGTTACTACTTTCAAATTAATCCTGTCTTTTCATATTTATCCCTATTAAACACTGTACAATAAATATAAAGTCATTATTAATAGAGATACTTAAAAAAAATAATGATTACACCTTAAAAGATTAAAATGCTTTATATTTTTAACATTCAATTTCTCAAAAAATACCTTATATTTTTGAGCAGAGGAAGTATTATGTTTTTTTTTTCCTTGATGAGTTAACTCTATAAAATATATTTATGTTTCTCTTTTGATGGCGTATTTATACATACAGCTTGAAGATCGTACGAGATTTAATTATGCGCAGCATTGGGTTTTCCATACGAAACAAATTCAGGATCCACATAACGAAGTTGTTTTGACTTTTAAGTCAATTTGGTGTTCAGTTTAATACAACATTAAGTCAATTTTTTTAGGTTTGATGTCCAAACTAAAGCTTTGGATGCTTTGACAAAACAAAGTCATTTCGTTATTTTTAATATAATTTTAACCTTTCTCTTGTTCAAAATAGCTAATACTATTATCTTGATTTAAGTCTTGCCTTTTATTACATTTGTGTTCAAAATTGAAATGGTATGTTTACTAATTTATTGACTTGGTTGATAACTTTAAGTTAACTATTATTGTCCCAAATGGGATTATAAGTTGATCCGGCACCAAGAAAAAATAACTTATAAATATCGAATAGTAAAATAACATGCTTAAGTTAAATTGTTACATTTCATATTAAAATTTATGTATGAATTAAACTTGTTATAAATTAAAAGAATAATTTTTGGTGAAAAAGAAGACAAATTTTGAAGTATTTCAATTACGTGCACTTTGCATCATGATGTTTTTGGTGTTTTCTTTGTTTCGGGTTCTGATTAACTAATAATATTACATCATTTAAATTAATTTTGAGTTAATTAGATAAAATTATAAATGCATCTACCCAGAGTGTTTGGATTTTCCCTCTACGTACGAGAGGTCATTATCTTTACAAGTCTAAACGAATTATATTAAACCGAACTTGAGAAACACTCAATAAAATTTTGGATTCGAAAGAAATTATTAAGTACCATTAAAAAAATTATCATTCCTATGATAGAACAAATATCATCGCTATTATCAGATATAAACTGCTTGCAGAGACATTGTATAAAAGATATGAGATGCTATTATATATAAAAGACTATAGTCGACCATAAGCTCTTCGTCATATTACTTTATAATAACAAGGAATATAGATTTAAATAAATTGGCGATCCTTTTTCAATGAAAAACATGTTTTAGGTGTCTATAACTACTACAAAAATCTTTTTATTATGTCTCTTAAATAATTTTAAATCACTGGTCAAAGCACTTAAATTTGACAACAAAACATTCTTCAAAACAAAAACAATACGATGAAACTAACATGTATTCCCTTCGTTTAAAAATGTAAGGTATTTTTAACTGAATCTCACCTTCAATAAAGCAGTTATCTACTTTCAAATTAATTCTATCTTTTTCATATTTATTCTTATTAAATATCCTATAATAAATATAAAGTCATTAATTAATATGGATACTTTTAAAAACAAATACAATGATTAAACTTTAAAAAAATAAATATACTTTATATTTTTTAACATTTAATTTTTAAAAAAATATTTTATATTTTTAAATGGAGAGAATATGTTCCTTAAATAAGATTGTTGCTTTCAAACATTGCATAACAAAAATATCAAATATTATTTTTAGTAAAAAAGGATATAATCACTTTAATATAAAGGTCATAAAACAACGAACACCTTTAACCAAACTTAAGCTTAAGAGTAAATTTATAAAGAATTTTTTTAAGAAAATAGACTTGGGAAATTTTGCCAACGCAATTATGCTAAGATATTTTAAGTAACACTTGGGAAAAAATTCAAGATTCTTTTGTTGACTCATGAAAAATATTAAAGTTGTTAATACAAATTTGCTAAAAAAAGAGTTATTGGTACAAAAAAAAAGAATTCAGATATTTAAAAAATACAATTTCAAAAAAGGCGTCGAAACTGGCACGTGGCGGTCGTTGAAAGGGCAGTCAGTGTCTGTAACCGACAAAGCGACATGGTCACGTGTTGCGGGTGGGGTCCATACGTGAAACTTTGAGCTGTTTAGGAGCACATGAATTTCGCGTAAAGTTGACCTGTACTACGAAAATTGAAACATGTAGGCCCCACGTGTTCCCCCCTCTTTCCCCCTTCTTTTGAATTCTTTATCTTCCTAAAATATTTCTCTTTTTATTACTCCCTCCGTTGTATCTTTGAACGGCTCTCACCCTTTAATTAAATAATTATTTGTTTTTAAATTAATTTTATTTATTTATTTATTTTTATTAAACATCCTATAATAAATATAAAATTATTATTAATATAAATATTTTTAAAAAATTAATAATTATATTTTAAAAGATTAAAAATATATTATATTTTTAAATATTCAACTCTTAAAAATATTTTATATTTTTTAATGAAGTGAGTAAGTTTGTTATTTTTTGAACAACTGTCATCTTTGTCAAATTAATCATTGATAAACAATCAAAAAATTACAAAAATTAGGAAAGATTTTCTGAATATCAAGCATCAATAATTTTTTAAAAAATTATCACTCACTTTGTATATTTATGATCTTCGTCACTTTCATGTTACTATATTATAATGATTTAAATAATGAATTATAATATTCTAAAACACTAAAAACAATATTTAAATGAATAAATAATACTTTTTTGATCCAAAAATATCTTGTTTCACTAATGCTTGATATGACAATTTTCATATAGTAAATTTTTATTTGTTTATTTTTCAAAACTTGGTTTAAAAGAACTTAATTTATACGTGAGACCTTCATGTTTTTCAAGTGATGTAGAAATTCATAAATATACAACATAAGTAAGAGCAAAAAAAATTAATTTTAATCTTATTTATAAATATTTTTATTATTTTTTATGTTAATCTTTGCTTGCATGCTCTGATTAAATGCTGGAAAAAAATTATAACAATTCTTTTTGTCCTAGTTATGAATAGAATTGAAAACTTATTAAATTTTAAAATAGAGTTAGTAAAATTTAAATTTTTTATAATTTTAATAAAATATATTAAATGTGATTTATAAATAGAATTAGATAAGTAGCCTGTAAAATGTAATATAAAATAACTTTCTATTTTTTTTTAGTCTTAATAAAATGTAGTGCATCGTTTTTAGTAAAATGTTGTTTCCTTTTTATTTCCACAGCAATTCCTTTTTCCTTCCTACATGAGCATTAGTTGAATATTAATGTAAATGAATTATACCACCATTTGCTCCAAAACACCGACTAATACACCAATGAATGCTCTGGAAAGTTAACGATGTCTTTTGAAAAAAATGTCAAAGGCAACCCCAAAAAAGTGGGCGTCCGCATTCAGACCGAGTGCCCATCAAGCGAGATACAGTTGTGGTGTGGCCCTTCATTTCAACTTGAAATGATATATACAATTCATTTAAATTAATTTTTAATCACTTTTAATATTATATTTATTAATCTGAAAAATATAAAAATTTTAATATTAAATTTGGACTGTTTTTAGTATTCATCAGAAAATAAACACCATGATGCCTATCACTTCAAACAAAATTTAGAACATTTAAATTTAAAAATTTTCATTTTTATGTTATACTCCCTCCATTTTTATTTGTAGAAGAAAAAATATATTAAACAGTTTAAAAAAATTAATTAATTATATTCATTGTGTTTGCAAATAAAAAATTAAATTACAATATCCTTCATTAATTATGTTAATCAAGCATTCATTAATTATCTCTTATGATTATGAATGATAAAATTATGAGGGATAATTTAGGAAGTTTGTAATAAATATTTATTAAAAATATAATTTTAATTATATAAAAAAATAAGTTAAAAAATTAGTTTCTCTTACAAATAGAAACAGAGAAAGTATTTATTAAAATAAAATTTATAAAATATATAAAAAAATTTAATAAATTTTTTTATAACCAATTTCATCAGTAAATATTTAATTTAAATAGTCTAATTTAATAATAAAAATTTTATAATTTGACTCTCTATATAGATTTTATAAAATTTAAATATAATTTAAAAGACCTAATTTCATTTTATAATTTAACTATTTAGATAAGTTCTGAATAATTTAGATATAGTTTGAGTGATCTAATTTAATATTAAAAAATTTATATATTTTAATAATTAATCATTCAAATGTACCATAAATAGTATTGATTTAATATTATTTTTTTATATTAGTAAATATAATATGAAAATATTTAAAATATAATTTAAATGAATGATATAGATTACTTTAGATTGAAATAGAAGGTTAGGATTGCTGCCAACATGATGAGCACGCAACGTGGGGTGGGGAACAGAAGTTGAAAACCTGACGTGGACGCCCAGGCCCAAAAACAATGATGTAGACGTGGAACACCCTGGTTCGTCCACTACAGCACCAAATTGATCCCACCGCAGCCGGAACTTGCCCCCGCAATCGATGAAAATCCCGTACACGCTTCCGTCATCTAGCGTCACATACATGGTCGAATCAGAACCGTGCCTTTCCACACACGTGTCATCTCCTGAGTGGTGAACCACCATCGCCGCCCATACACGGCTCTGAAGTCTGAAGTCCTAAATATAAATCACACAATTGTGAAACCAGAGGACGCACTATTTTCCACTCGCGGGTCATAAAGGCAAAACCATATAGGATTCCCCGACAAAGAAAAAAGATCACACGCTCCTCAACTTTGAACGTTGACAAGACTCCACCCACGCCGGCGGTGATCGTTGAACCGGAAAGATGTCATCGGAGAGTACTACAACCACCCGCTCCTCCCAGCCGGACGCCGCGGAGTTGAACCTGAAGGATACAGAACTCACCCTCGGCCTTCCCGGCGCCAATAATAATACCACCAGCTCTAAACGTGCCTTCTCAGAAACCAACATCTTTGGCTCAACCTCGTCCTCAACTAGTACCCCACCACCTAAGTAAGAATTTATACTTCATTCTATAAGGGCGTGTCTCTGTTATACATATACATATATGGGTGGGTTGTGATTGGCTGGTGGATGATGATACAGGACACAGGCGGTGGGGTGGCCGCCGGTGAGGGCGAGTAGGAAGAACGTGTTGAAGAGCTGCAAATTTGTGAAGGTGGCGGTGGACGGAGCTCCATATCTGAGGAAGGTAGATCTTGAGAAGTATGAGAGCTATGATCAGCTGCTCACGAGTTTGGAGGCCATGTTTGGTTCCTTGACAATTCGTAAGTGTGTGTGTGTGTGTGTTTGAGTTTTTGGTATGGTGATTATGGATATGCGTTTGGTCATTGCAAGGGTGATTTTGTAATTTCGGTGTCTGCCATGGATTCAGGCAATCATTTGAATGAGAGGAAGATGATGGACCTGGGAAATGGGGCAGAGTACGTGCCTACGTATGAGGACAGAGATGGCGACTGGATGCTTGTGGGAGATGTACCTTGGAAGTGAGTTCTCTATTTTACCCTTCAAAAATCTTAGTAGTCACGATTCATCATCATCAGTCCAATTAACCCATCGTGTCATAAATTTTCTCTGTTCCTTAATTTCTCCTTTAGGATGTTTGTTGAATCCTGCAAAAGAATCAGGTTGATGATAAAGTCAGAAGCTACTGGCTTAGGTCAGATTTCTTCTCTTCCTCTAAATTTTTTGCTTTTATTTATAAAATCAGTCATTTCACATTCAGTATTGTATTTTTGGTCGATGATCTGGATATATACTGATAAGGCAATATTAATGAAGTGCAGAAATTGGGAGAAGAGGGTTGAAGTTGGAAGAGAAAAAGTGTAGTAATTAATTAATAAAGTGTTTGGCGTTTTGGAGAGTCGGTAGCTGTACAGAAGTGCTCTTGATAAGAGACCAGTCAAGAGAAGAAGAGAATAGCTAATAAGAGAAGGTTTAGCTGTAATTTACGACGATGCCCTTCCCCCAGTTTTGTAGGTGTTACTTGTTAGGCAAGTTTTCTACGAGGATGTTGGATCAGGCCATAATGTAACAGCTCATGCTTGACATCTCATTTATGTAATCAATAGACCTTATTAATTTCTTTTATTTTCTGAGAATACTATACATCAGTGAGATCGACTTTGCTCCAATAGTTGCACGAGATACTTATTAAATGTGTGCAATAGTGAAAGTATTTTATCACCCAAAACGTGACGACAATGAAATAGTTAATCTTTAGCATGATTACTATAATTACCAAAAAAGTCATATAATTAATGTGCTTGAAAAAACATATAATGAAAAGAATCACTTAGTACTAAGTAAACAAGTTACGGGCCAGCCTGCGGACTCACATTTTTGCTAGCTAGATTGGGCTAGCCCACTAGATAAAACAGATTGAAAAATCCAACTCAACTTGTTTCTTGGTAGGTTGGCCTGTAAAAATTTATCAATTTTTTTTACAATTTAAAATTTATATAATATAAATATATATTTATTTATTTATTTTACATTTTAAGAAAAATTAACAATTAAAGAATTTGTAAATAAATAAAATAAACATAGGATTCAACCATACAAATTTATTTTATTAGATTTTTATCATTAATTATCTTCTCGCCTAGGTGTGTTATCTTTCTCACTGAGAAAGAAAATTTAAATATAAACCTATATTATTTTTCTCAATGAATTTATATTTATGATTTCAATCAATGAATCTTATGAGATTAATAAATAATATATATTTAAAATATTTTTATAAAAATTAATAAATTATTGATTTACAAACTATAATGAAAAAATTTACTTGTAAATTTTAAAAAAGATTTATATTATATTTCAAATGTAAAGAACACATTTGAAAGTTATAAATTATATATTTAAAAAATATTATCATTATTGAATATTTATAAAAAGATATAATATGATTAAAAAATATTTTTTAAAAAAATATGCTAACTTGTGGGCTAACCCGTTTAGCTCGCAGGCTAGCCTGTTTTAATTCATTAATTTTGCAGTTTGCGTTAGCCTAGCTCATCTTAAAAAATGGGCCAATTTATTTAACTCAATTCATCAAATTTTGCGGGTTCAAAGGGCTAACTCACAGGCTCAACCTATTTGTTTGGCTTTAAAATCGCTAGTATTAGCACATGATGTAGTATCCATGTTGGAAATCTATACAATGTCATATTTTCTTGTATCACCCTCTCATCATATTATTAGTTATATAATTTTTTTGGCCAAATTGCTCAAAGTATATTTTCTGGCCGCGCAACATGAGACCGAACATGAAACTTTTTTTTTTTTTTCTATAGTCTAATAGAGATACTTAGAGAGAGATACTCCATCCGTTTAAAAATGTAAGATATTTTTAACTGAATCTCACCTCTAATAAAGTAGTTGCTTACTTTTCAGCTAACTCTATTTTTTCATATTTACCCCTATTAAACACCCTATAATCAATATAAAGTTATTATCAATAGGGATACTTTTGAAAAGAAAAAGTAATGATTATACTTCAAAAGACTAAAAATGCTTTACATTTTTAAACATTCAATCCCACAAAAAATATCTTATATTTTTGAATGGAGGGAGTGTATATATATATATATATATATTCCAATAAAGATTAGTTCAATTAATAAATATATATATATATATCTTATATTTATGAATATGATGACTTTTTCTGTGAAAAATTTATAAGCACCTTCGTATTTTTTTCACAAAACAACATTAGTATATGTGTGCATTTCAAAATTATTAGAAAGTTATATAGTTTACGAGTCATTTACTCTTTTTGGAGACTCACTCATGTAAGAAAATACGTAGTTACGTTATAACTGGCTTATAAATTATCCCAACAATTATTCATATGGGATGGCAAAAAAGAAAGTTTCAAAGTCTAAACTAGATACGGTTGATTCCTGCATTAGTGATTCTTCTCTCAGTATTTGGTGAAGGGAGAAAAAGTGATGCTTACTCAGTATTTAGTATAGTCAGTACAATGAAATTTTTTAAGATAGCATTTGGATTGATGGATTTAAATTTGTGTTTTAAATTTAAAATTCATGTATTTAAAATATTTTGTTTAGGTAATTTAAAAAATTCAAATGAAAAGAAGACATGAATTGAGATTTAATCGAAACAAAAAGTAAAAATTAAAAATGAAGAATTTATTTTTTTTAATTGATAAGAATTGATAAAAATATTATAGTCATAAAAGTATCAATAGTAAAAATTTAAAAAGAACAAGATACTTGAAATGATTAAAATTTTAAATGATTAGGGTGTAGAAGGAATTTAAAATTATAAAGAAATTATAATTTGCAGTGGATTTAATCCAAATCTTCTTTTTAATCCAAACACACCATTATTATTTAATATTTTATTCTATTCTGATCATGATTATTCAATGATGGATGTTTTTTAAAGCCTTATTTGTAGTATAGATATACAAGTCATTATTCATTAATATTAAGTGATCATATGGAATGCTTCTTGTCCTTAAAAAAATGGCATCGCTATTGTGGAGTTCAAACCACAAGCCGAGTGTAACGAGGGCCAGCATGATTGAACATAAAGGCCAAAAGGGTTTGGGCTGTGTTTCCAACATCGCCAACACAAATGGCCATCTTCCAACCCAATTTCGTCCAATCCACTAGTGTTTTTTTTTTTTCCGTGGTTTTAATATATCAAAAACACATCGATATAGGTACAATGACATTTTTCTTTATTTGATACAATTACTTACATTTTTCTAATATCACCCATATTTAAACTTATTAATTATGAGAGAGAATATAATATAAATTTAAATTTTTTTTATTTAAATATAAATAAAATCAAAAGTTTATTTTATTTTCTGGCAATGTTAATAACCTATAACTCACAGTTGTTTGGTTCTGTTGAGGTAGTTAGATGTGTTTTATAAAAGGAATCAAGAGAGTTATTTGTCTAATCTAAGTGGATTGTACAAAACCATATTTTTTAACACGATATTTTAAAAAAAAAATCTTGTAATATTTAAAGAAAGAAGCATATGGATATGTTTCTCTAGCCACGAGTGAGTGACTGCGGCGAGCCAGAAGAACATGATGATGAGGAGGTGCAAGTACGTGAAGATGGCGGTGGTCGGAGCTCCATATCCGACGAATGTAGATTTTGAGAAGTATGCATGGGAGCTTGGACCAGCTGCTCACGGGTTAAGAGGCCAATTTTATTCCATGACAATTGGTAAGCATGCCGCTTATATAGACGCACATGTAAATTAAATATTCACATCCAACGTAGTACTGTTACGTTGGTGTTAATTATGGATGTTAGGCAAGGGTGGTTTATATGGTAATCTGATTGTCTGCCACGTGGATTAATTAGGCAAACATTTTTTGATTACTCACAAATATTTTTGTATTGAAGGCAATTCTATTTAAAATACGGTTAGACATTAAATATAAGTATCTCTTTTAGTGAGGATTCAAATTTTGATTTGTCACATTACAAAGAACTAATCCTTTTCACTAAACTTTGGAAATAGGCAGAGGACGTACAATTCTGGCAAATTCAACCCACAAACAGGGTTTAAGTGGACACATTACACGCATACAAGTGCATTGATAAGGGGCAGAAAAAGAAGATGGGCATAATGGGGTAACCTGAACCTAAACCTGTTTAGAGATATACAAAATGGCGGAGTGATAATATATATAAATAACTGCTAGACCATGTTTCGAACGTGATTATACTTGCGCTACATAATATATATATATATATATATATATGTATGTATGTATGTATGTATGTATGTATGTATGTATATGTAGTGTGACATTTTTTTGGGAATTTTATGCACCTTTTTTATTCATTTAATTTTTATTTATACATCATCCTAAGTTCCATATCCATTCTTGGTTAATTGTTTTTGTTTGTTTCACATTGGGTATTATCATAGTCTATAGTCGTGAGACTACTAGTTCCTCCAGAAATCTGAAGATTATTTAAGGAATTATCATCTTTTGAGCAATGCTCTCCATACACACATTAAATCAAGAATCAAATTAAAAGAAGACGAGAGAGAAATAAATGGGACTAGAAAAGTGACATTCTTGATTGATATGAAGAGCTTATAATATAGATGAATTTAATAATGACTAATAAATATCCTAACAGTGTCTAATAAATACAAAATATTTCCTAAATTTAAATAGAATAAATCTTAATAGATAACAAATTTAAACAAAATAAATATTCATAAATAATATATCTTAACATAATCTGTTATTTAACAATTTCAAGTATAGATGCTAGCTCTAGCAAGGAAATGAGATTTGTTCTTAAGATCTCTTAGATCAGGTAGAGTTAGGAATTCGGGCTAAATTACGAGGCACATTGCCACAATCTAAACACTCATGTGACAATAATCCAAATATATAATAACAATGCATATTGACATAATACTAACAATTATGTGACAATGGCATAAATAACTATCATAACTTGTTACAAACTTAACAACCATGCGATGCATCGAATAAAAATATGCACAATCAATTCCCTTCATATATCCTCCTTATTTTCTCCAACTAAAATCATAAGCTATAATATCAATTAAAGCTCCGTTCATATGACTGGACTACCTAAGCTCATCAATTGTGAGGTGTGACCTAGCCAAATATCACTACACTCACTGTCAAACCACGGCTTTTGTAACATCCTCAATTGCAAATGTTGAATTTTAAAGTGTTAAAAGGGTAAATTAATAAAATTGAGTAATTAATAAATTAATGATGTTTTTGAACTATTAATGAGGTTATTAGATCATTGGATAACTTTAGAAGTAGACTAGATTGGTGTACTAGTGGACTAGGCATCAATTAAGGCCTGAAACTCATTTTGGGGTTAACTGTTCCATCCGCTATGGTGGATGTGCAAAAATATGATTTAATTAGATTGCACACATGTAAGGAAAACAGAGGAAGAAGATGAGGGAATGCAAAAATGTGACAGAGGAGGAGTTGAGGTCTGTTAGGGATGCATTGTATAGGTATTTTAGAGGCAATTTGAGCTAGTAACACCTTGGGGTAAGTGTTTTTTTCCTCTCTCTTTCCCTTACATTTGAATTTATGATGTTGTTGGCTAGGTTTACATTTTG